TACTAGGCACTATCAGTGGTGGATGTGGTCATCAGAATGCCAGTCGGGACTAGGCACTGTCAGTGGTGGATGTGGTCATCAGAATGCCAGTCTGGACAGGGCACAATCAGTGGTGGGTGTGGTCATCAGAATGTTGATATGTAAGCTACTGTAACAGCCATCTGATTTGTCCTGACATTTCAATTCCAATTAATTTTCAGGACAATTTATAGGTGGAAAGGCTGGTGCTAATATTGATTCTACACTGGGTGCAATTGACACGCTTAGGTTACGTGTATTAACAGATGCTAAGGCATGGGTGATACTCAGCGAGGTTAGTAAGGTTACTCTTTTTAATATTCTTGCCAATATACAATTTGTGAGAATTCTTGGGGGGGGGGGCTCTGAAATGACTTTGTTGTTTTACCCTCAGAGTAATAAATTAAAAAGTGTCATTTAAGTTTTATTGTATTCAGAATTAAAGTAGAAGCTTACTGATAATTTAAAAAAAACCAGAATTTATTCATTTTGCAATAAATTGTACTCCACTCCAAGGCAATATAAGGTATTGACCTAAAAAAAAGTTGGTGGTCAACAGCATTTTTTTCGAAAATTGATGGTTGTATTTTAGTGGAAAGTCGCCATTTTGACACTATTATAACACTTTTACCACAGGTTCCTATGGCAGAGATATTATGTAATATCTCAAAATCTAGCCTGGTGACATAGGCTGAAAATATCCTATATTGTTAATGATGGGGTACTTTTTGTTGTTCTGAATTATTTAAAAAATCTGGGTTTTAAAAAGTGTCAAAAAATGCAATTTTTCTTTAACATTGTGTTCCATGGAATTTTTCTGAAAATAGCAATTTTCTAGTATGTTTCTGAGGGCCTAAAATCCTTGCCCGAAACAAAACACTATCTACTCAAGGTAGTGACTAGCTATTTTGTACAATTCAATACGAATTACATAATTTACGAATACATATGTATAACGATTTGTGAACAGCGATGATGTGAATGTTTTTTATCTTTAATTCACAGATACACATTGTTGCAAAGAGGTGACCGTCATCAAGAAGAACCATATCATTGTACTTTTTATCTATTTGAATGTAATATTTTATACTGAGATCTGAATCATAGTTTTTCAAGCTCTGAAAGGTTTCCTCATTGCCTGAATGATATCATTGTGGCTTGCTGTGACAGGAATCTTGCATATTTCATCAGCTGTTACAGCATATTATGTTTTTTACAAAAAGCCACATAACATGTATAAGCTGTATTCCTGATTACAATCTCGTCAGTTCCTCTACAGACTAGATAAGAATTCATTTATACTTACATTATATTTATCTGACCGAGTTTTCTTTTCTTTTTTTTAATTTTGTTATACAAAATTATATTCAATATTACTGTTGTCATAGTTATTCTCTAGTTGTGGGCTATGTATATGTATACATAGTGTCTGTAGCATTTCATCCATTTGTGCCTTTGTCAGTTAGAAAAGCATTTTAAATATATTTCTTGGATTATTTACAATTTTCTAAATTCTTTAAGACTTGTAAAAATGATTCTTAAAAAGTTACTACTGTACAATTACCTATATATGATTATTGGTGGGGGAGGGAGGGGGGGGATGTTTTCACTTTATGTACTTTATTACTATCAGTGTTACAGCCAATCAGAATGTACTTTTATGACAGGACTATCTCTAATATTGTATTACTAGTCTATGTGGTCTAGTCATTTTTTTTTTCCAACGAATTAATTAAGCAATATCTAAGCTTGGGAGTTTTATAAATAATCATTATGATTCAATCGGCTGAAGATACCGTAGTTTGCTACCATTAAAACACAAACAAAATAATCACTAAAAAGTAAATCCTTGAAAAATTATTGTGTGATATTTCGCATACATGCCAGTCATTCATTTTTTTACAAAGAAAGAAGGACGTGTTCAAGATTATTCATAGGAATCCGTGTAAACACATCATTCTATGAATTACTAACACTAATATTCAATTTTTTTTATTTTTTCATGACTGCAATATGTAGCTCTTATAACACTACATAGACCATGCAACACAATTTTGAGATACAATATGGAATATTTCTGCTATAGTTGTAAACTACTCAAAACATGCAGTTTTGATAAGTCTTTGAGGTAATTTTGTGGAAAATTTAGTTTGGTGACTATATATTTTTATTTCAGAATTTTGAACATTGCTGTAACCTGGTTAAGGTTTGCTGGATTTCAAAAATTTCTGAGTATATTTTTTTTTAATGGTAGCGAACTTATCTTAATGTCTTGTGGTCCCATGACTTGCATCTGTCCTGACCACTGAAGTTTTGTTGGTGTACTCGGTACTGACCTGCACCCTCAGCTTATTGTGTTATTCCTATAACTGACTAATCAAAGCAATATTTTTAATTTCAATTTCTGTGCATGTGAATGTCTGTTAAGTCTAAAGTCAGTCAAAAGTCAGTCAGTAATGACCCAGTTAAAAGACATACACTTGTTGGTTTATGTACTTGGAGATGCGTTTCTAATTAAGTAAATATGGTATCTGAAATTCCAACACAGTACCTCGGGTGAACAACTCATAGGATAGTTTACAGGGTAATGTCATAAGGTATTATGCTTAGTGTTACAAAATTGTGATGTTTAAGTGAAACTTTTGCATATTATTTGACTGTTTTTCAAAAATTGCAAATTCTTATCTGGGGCAATAGAAATTGTAACTGTTGTATACATACATGCACGCACACCACCATATTGAAACATTTTATAATTTATAATTTTCTGTAATGTTTTTTTTAACTTGATGTACGTTCTTTGAAAGCATTAACAGTTGTTACTCTGCATGCATTTAGATATTGTGTAAACTGTATTTCCTCGTTTTGTGTACATTACACTTGAGCCATATTAAACATAGATTGTTTATAGGTTGTCTGCAGAATACAGTGTATTCGCGAAAATTATTTTTTTGTTGTACACAGTGTTGGATAGCCCTGTCAACTTAACATTCTCAGAATCAAGCACAATAAACTTAAACACCGCCCTCTTGTGGCCATGATGTAAGATAATTTCGTTTTCATAATACAGAAAGTTGTACATATTTGTGATTGCTAATTAAATAATTGTCTATATTGCTTGTGCATATTTGAAATATTTATAACTAATATTTTCAAAATAAAGTCTGTAAATGAAAACCTTGTCCACTTTCAATATTTTATCGTCTATCAGCTATATATTATAGCACTGAATAAGTCAAAATAACGCCCAGCTAAAGGTTGAGCTATGTACAGGAGTTTGTGCGTTCACTGTTCCTACTACTGCCATTTGTTAGTTCTGCATGTATACGAGCAAAACATGCTGAACTTTCTTTGAAGCCTAACAACATTCTGATATGTTCTTAGCCAAAAATAGTTGGTGTATTTGAACTGATGGCTGTCTACCTGCGAAAGAAAGGTTACATAGTGGTTATGAAAGGGCTATATACACATTATGTAAAGGTTGCTGTAGTATTTACTGTTACTCAGTGTTGACAGAAATGTATATAGTTCGTTCTCCGTATGTATTTCTGAATTTAGAGTTCACAGAATAGAAATTATCCTTCTCTATCACA